CAGATTTAAATGGATGTTTGCTACAAATATTGCGGTGCTGCAAAAAGATGACGATCGATGGCGTTTAATAGAATTTTCATTAAAATTTTGACCTTTTTAATGTGTTTTTATAGGCGATAAATTAAATTTGATAATGTTAAGAAGACAACGAAAAAAATATTGAATTTAATCATTAAATAAATTTTGATAAAAATTAAAATTTCGTTTTTATGCGAGTTTTATTATATAAAAAAAAAATTAAATAAAATTTATAATTATTAAAAAATATTTTTATAATAAATTGTAAAAAAAATCTTTTAAATCGAAAATGTTATTAAATACAAAATTATAGTTTTTACACACTAACATATTTTTCAATAGAAAATTTAAGTGATCGCAGATTTTCACTTCTTCCTCGATCGCTGGTTTTTATATCCTACACAACTTTAGTGGGTAGGGTATATGGGGTTTCTGCTGATGTTTATAACACACACAAATATTCGTCCTATATCCACCTTAAGGTATACTTGATGACCTTGCCAGATCGGGCCTCAATAGACCCTCAATAGTTTCTAGTTTAGTATATAGTCTAGTCTATATTCTAGTCTATAGTCCAGTCCATACTCTAGTCTATAGTCTATAAACTAGTCTATAGTATAATCTATAGTTTAGTAGAGTCTACAGTCTATTCTATAGTGTAGTCTATAAACTTGTCTATAGTATAGACTATAGTCCAGTCTATATTCTAGTCCATATTTGCCCCGATTCGATTCAAAGATCTATTGACGATCTATAGACGCTGATAGAAAACTGATCATTGATGTTCGCTTCATTCTAGATCGGTGGTATATTTAAGGTTCTATAGCTCATGTTAATTTTTTTTATATAAAAATTGACTTTTGATGGAAAATATGAAGATCAGTGAATCGTTTCATTTTGATCGAAAGTTGAAGTGATCACCGATCTTCAATTGGAGTGATTTTTAATGATCTGCAGCCAATTTTGGTTTTTTCACATAAAAATCAAAATTTAATGGAAAATTCAAGTGATAACAGATATTCGGCTATTTTCTCAATTGGAGCCTTATTAACAGATCTACAGCCATGAATTCCGTTTAATTTTTTCTGGTCTAGCTTAATAACAACAACAAGAACAACAATATGTATATGCATAACACCAAGTGGCAATAGTTTACACATGTAGACTACATTTATTGCCAACACTTTTAAGTTGTTTTAAATAGTTGATGGCACGCAATCAGCTAGTGAGTACTCACACTATTCAAACACATCATCGCCATGATCATTTCGAATCACAACAACGACAATGATGACCTTGACAAATTTTTAAAACACAAATTAAAAAAAAGAAAAAATTCAAATTGTTTGTCCGACTGTCATTCTGTACATGAAACGACGACATAAGTAACTACTCGAATACATTTGTTAAAGAAATACTTTGTATCATGCATGCATGACGATGATGATGATGATATTGATGATGCACTTCCGTGCAGACTATAAAAATTAAGCAACATTTATCAGCAGCTACAAATCAGTAAGCAGCATGTCAACGCACTTGTCACCTTTTTTTTTTAAAATTTTGGAAAATTTATACAGACGCGTCTGATGATGCGTGTTGAAAACTTATAAAACAAAACAACATTAAAAGTTATAAATAAAATGAAAAACAGAAACTTATTTTAACCCACACATGCATTCCCTAAGATCATTTTGACAATTCTTTTTGCCGTGTCTGTCCCTCATGAGCAACATAACATATGCTTGGGCGCCGTTTAAATTTTCAAGAATCTCTTGTCATTCGAACAAGTGCTCTGGACATGGCAGTACTTTTATTTTAAAATATAAGCGTTTTTTTATATTAAGGTTTATTTTTTTTTAAATTATGTTTCACTCATCATTAAAATCTTTCATTATTTTTATCATCTTGTAGTTTTATGAATTATTAGCAATTTTGTTAGACAATTTTAGTATTTTATTTAATATTTCTTGGATTTTTATGTTTTTAAGAATTTTTAAATTAGTTTGTTTGTGATTTTTCCTCAATGACTTTTGTTTTCATTCAAAATGGACATACACACATTCATAGGTACATACATATGTTTTATAATTATTTATGTGTGTTTTTTTTATTATTTAAACAAACTACATATATTTCATTTTCATAGCCGGTCATTAAGGTGTTTTAATGACAACTGCAACTGTAAGAAGCGTTACTAATTTAAAGGCAAATAGGAAGTTAGATTTTGTCTTTAATTTAGTTAAAATTACAATGACAAATCAGCTTTAATTGTACAAATTAAGTTCAAAATTTATTAAAACTAGAAAAACTGTTATTGTTGTGGTAAAGATCGGATGTTCTTACTTAATTAAGTGAGAATACATGCACATATTATAGACAAGATTATTAGAGACTTAACTATAGACTAGACTATAGTCTATAGACTATTCACTAGACTACAGTCTAGACTATAGCTCCAGACCATAGACTAGACTATAGACATACTATAGATTAGACTATAGACAGACTATGGACCAAAATATAGACTAGACTATAGAATAGACTATAGACTAGACTATAGACTAGACTATAGACTAGACTATAGACTAGACTATAGACTAGACTATAGACTTGACTATAGACTAGACTATAGACTAGACTATAGACTAGACTATAGACTAGACTATAGACTATACTATAGACTAGACTATGACTAGACTATAGACTAGACTATAGACTAGACTATAGACTAGACTATAGACTAGACTATAGACTAGACTATAGACTAGACTATAGACTAGACTATAGACTAGACTATAGACTAGACTATAGACTAGACTATAGACTAGACTATAGACTAGACTATAGACTAGACTATAGACTAGACTATAGACTAGACTATAGACTAGACTATAGAATAGACTAGACTATAGACTAGACTAGACTATAGACTAGACTATAGACTAGACTATAGACTAGACTATAGACTAGACTATAGACTAGACTATAGACTAGACTATAGACTAGACTATAGACTAGACTATAGACTAGACTATAGACTAGACTATAGACTAGACTATAGACTAGACTATAGACTAGACTATAGACAAGACTATAGACTAGACTATAGACTAGACTATAGACTAGACTATAGACTAGACTATAGACTAGACTATAGACTAGACTATAGACTAGACTATAGACTAGACTATAGACTAGACTATAGACTAGACTATAGACTAGACTATAGACTAGACTATAAACTAGACTATAGACTAGACTATAGACTAGACTATAGACTAGACTATAGACTAGACTATAGACTAGACTATAGACTAGACTATAGACTAGACTATAGACTAGACTATAGACTAGACTATAGACTAGACTATAGACTAGACTATAGACTAGACTATAGACTAGACTATAGACTAGACTATAGACTAGACTATAGACTAGACTCTAGACTAGACTATAGACTAGACTATAGACTAGACTATAGACTAGACTATAGACTAGACTATAGACTAGACTATAAACTAGACTATAGACTAGACTATAGACTAGACTATAGACTAGACTATAGACTAGACTATAGACTAGACTATAGACTAGACTATAGACTAGACTATAGACTAGACTATAGACTAGACTATAGACTAGACTATAGACTAGACTATAGACTAGACTATAGACTAGACTATAGACTAGACTATAGACTAGACTATAGACTAGACTATAGACTAGACTATAGACTGGACTATAGACTAGACTATAGACTAGACTATAGACTAGACTATAGACTGGACTATAGACTAGACTATAGACTAGACTATAGACTAGACTATAGACTAGACTATAGACTAGACTATAGACTAGACTATAGACTAGACTATAGACTAGACTAGACTATAGACTAGACTATAGACTAGACTATAGACTAGACTATAGACTAGACTAGACTATAGACTAGACTATAGACTAGACTATAGACTAGACTATAGACTAGACTATAGACTAAACTATAGACTAGACTATAGACTAGACTATAGACTAGACTATAGACTAGACTATAGACTAGACTATAGACTAGACTATAGACTAGACTATAGACTAGACTATAGACTAGACTATAGACTAGACTATAGACTAGACTATAGACTAGACTATAGACTAGACTATAGACTAGACTATAGACTAGACTAGACTAGACTATAGACTAGACTATAGACTAGACTATAGACTAGACTATATATTTTTTAAATATTTCATAAAAACATCGAAAAATATTTTTACTAATCAAATTCAAGAAATGTAGGATGACGATAAATTTATCGTATGAACGGAGTAATTGGCAGTAGTAATTTAGAAGGCGTATTAAGTAATAGACGATGCCGTGGGAACATAGTGTTTTAACTAGGTCCACAATAACAAAAAAATCATATGTTATTTGAACAGTTTAGTTATGTTTTTTATATAGATTTTTTCAGTTTCAATTTTTGCATATTTTTTATAATTTTTGTATTAATAAACGGCACCACTTTAAGCCGTTATATAATTTCAAATATAATTTCAAATTAGTGCTGGAAAAATATGTGTCAAAACAACAATATCATCATTAATCAGCTGGATTAAAACAATAAATATGTTAAAATAGATAATAAATAAAACTGTAACAGAAATAAAATATTTATGATTTGCTAAAGCTTTGTAATATTGCACAAATATTAACGATTGTTAACGCCGCCGCCAGCATTTCTTCTTGGAAGATTTTATCATTTAAATAAATTTATTTTATTTTATCGGTAATTCCAACTTATTTACAAGGAGTGGCTATAACTATTTGTCAAACGCCACCAAAAACCATAATGAATTAATCATAAACATAAAGATTATTTAATTTTTCGCAAACACCTTTTAAACAATTTTCAATTTGTTGCTAATCAATACTAAAAACGATTTGACATTAATATAAAACTGTAATAAAAATTTTAACTCACCATAAAAAAATGCTGCGACATGATATTGTTGTTGATGGCTTTTGATGAATCCATATTGATGATGATAGTTGGTTGGTTGTTGGTGGTGTTGGTGTCGGCTTCCTCAATTAAATCCTCTTAAAATAACAACTATAAATAAAAAAATCTTCCTCTCCCTATGCTCCACTCCTCCCATAAACAATACAAATAAAACTAAAAAAAACAGCAAAGACAAAAGCTAGAAAAAAAAAAAACAAATAACAAATTAATTAATTATAAATAGTTTTTGTACATATTTGCATAAAACAAAGCAAATTTATATTAATTTGATTGAAAACAATCATAAAATAACATAATTAATGTGTGAAAGATTTCAACAGACAAATACTAACAACAACTACAATACATACATACATTCATACATACATACATCTACATAAGAGTATTTATCATAATTTGATTTAAAATTAAAAGAAAGAAGATCCAATATTTTGAAAAAAAAAAAACATATAAAATATACGGATAAACATAAATAAATGGATGATACGCCAAGTTATGTTTGAATATTTGTGTGAAACAAACAGAAAAAAAAAATATCCACATACTTTTAAACACTATAACCTGTTCAACAGCTCTGCTATAATATCTTTGGAATTTATTTAATAATTTATTTTAGTTTTTTTGTTTTTTCTTTATTTTTTATATTAAAATAAAACTATGAATATGTTGGATGGAAGCTAGTAAGTATGCATTAAACTGTGAAAAAAACAAATACTTATGTTTGTTGTTATTTCCCTAGTATTTTATGTGGGTGATTTAATTTGTTTGGTTTTCTTAATTATTCTATTGTCATAAATTTTAAGGAATTTAAATAAATACCAGAATATTGGAACAAGTTATGGTCCGATGCCTACCATTTCATCATTACTGACTGCTGCTTAATCAAGATATTCATGACATCCAAACTATTTTTCGGGGCTCACTTTTATGAGGCCTAGGAGAAATTGTGGACCGATACCCATTTTCACTATTAAATAATCCGTCTTTATTGTAGAGTGGAGAATATTTGTGAAAAATTTAAAGTTTTAACAAATAGACAGTCGGGAAGTTATGGCTGGATCGTCCACAATGTCTTAAAATCAATATTTTGATGTGTTACAAACTGAACTAGACTAAAACTAGAACTGAACTGAACTCAACTAACTCTGAATTAGAACAGAACTAGAACTGAACTAGAACTGAACTAGAACTGAACAGAACTGAACTAGAACTGAACTAGAACTGAACTAGAGCTGAACTAGAACTGAACTAGAACTGAACTAGAATGAACTAGAACTGAACTAGAACTGAACTAGAACGAACTAGAACTGAACTATAACTGAACTAGAACTGAACTAGAACTGAACTATAACTGAACTAGAACTGAACTAGAACTGAACTAGAACTGAACTAGAACTGAACTAGAACTAGAACTGAACTAGAACTGAACTAGAACTGAACTAGAACTGAACTAGAACTGAACTAGAAACTGAACTAGAACTAGAAACTGAACTAGAACTGAACTAGAAACTGAACTAGAACTGAACTAGAACTGAACTAGAACTGAACTAGAACTGAACTAGAACTGAACTAGAACTGAACTAGAACTGAACTAGAACTGAACTAGAACTGAACTAGAACTGAACTAGACTGACTAGAACTGAACTAGAACTGAACTAGAACTGAACTAGAACTGAACTAGAACTGAACTAGAAACTGAACTAGAACTGAACTAGAACTGAACTAGAACTGAACTAGAACTGAACTAGAACTGAACTAGAACTGAACTAGAACTGAACTAGAACTGAACTAGAACTGAACTAGAACTGAACTAGAACTGAAACTAGAACTGAACTAGAACTGAACTAGAACTGAACTAGAACTGACTAGACTACTAGAACTGAACTAGAACTGAACTAGAACTGAACTAGAACTGAACTAGAACTGAACTAGAACTGAACTAGAACTGAACTAGAAACTGAACTAGAACTGAACTAGAACTGAACTAGAACTGAACTAGAACTGAACTAGAACTGAACTAGAACTGAACTAGAACTGAACTAGAACTGAACTAGAACTGAACTAGAACTGAACTAGAACTGAACTAGAACTGAACTAGAACTGAACTAGAACTGAACTAGAACTGAACTAGAACTGAACTAGAACTGAACTAGAACTGAACTAGAACTGAACTAGAACGAACTAGAACTGAACTAGAACTGAACTAGAACTGAACTAGAACTGAACTAGAACTGACTAGAACTGAACTAGAACTGAACTAGAACTGAACTAGAACTGAACTAGAACTGAACTAGAACTGAACTAGAACTGAACTAGAACTGAACTAGAACTGAACTAGAACTGAACTAGAACTGAACTAGAACTGAACTAGAACTGAACTAGAACTGAACTAGAACTGAACTAGAACTGAACTAGAACTGAACTAGAACTGAACTAGAACTGAACTAGAACTGAACTAGAACTGAACTAGAACTGAACTAGAACTGAACTAGAACTAGAACTGAACTAGAACTGAACTAGAACTGAACTAGAACTGAACTAGAACTGAACTAGAACTGAGTTTTAAACAAAAATTCAAAATTAAAAAAAAATTTTATCGAAAATTTAAATTTTTATTAAATATTTCATTGAAACTCCAAATTTTTACAATAGAATTTAATTTTTTTTTCTTCATAAATAAAAAAACTATAAACAAAAGAAATGAATTGCAAAAATATATGTTTAGCAGTGTAATTATAACGTTTTCTTTTAACTTCATTTAAATAAATATGATGAAAATATGTATGTAATGTACTAGATAATGAGAATAGTTTATAAACAAAAAAGAAACAAAACTTGTTTAGTCTTCTCTTACTAAAAAATAACATTAAATACTAAAAGTTGTTATTAATTATAACAAAAAAAATGCAGAAATAATAGTAATAATAATGAATTCATATTTGCCTTGATGTCAGGAAAATTGCGCAATTTTTCTAGCATTATATCGACTAAAACAAGGCGGATTAAAAACATGTAAATTTTTTCAAAAGTAAGAAAACATTTCCAGTTTAGAGACTAAATGCAGAGTCTTTTTAAATCAAATAGTTATTATTTCAAGAGCAGTTAATTGTATTTATGAGCTTTTGCTTTATAAGGAAAAATATTGTAATAATCATAAAAAAAATTAAATTAAGAATTTTTTCTTGTTTATTTAGTTTACAAAATTTCAACTTAATTCCATTTTAATTTATGACCATAAATACTAATTCGAATTTGTCATTTTGATATGAATATTAACGCATTTGAACTTCACATTTAATTAAAAATATCACATATGTTTTGAAATTCATTAACTTTTTAATGTTTATAATAATTTTTGTTGATTTTTTGTTGTTTATTATACTCTTCACCTACATATGTGGGAAGGATATATATATAAGTTTGTTATTCTGTTTGTAATTTCTATAATATAATTTTTCGATCCTTATATACATTTCTGGATAGATAGCGTAGTCAATTAAGCCATATCCGTCTGTCTGTCTGTCTGTCTAACTGTCTATCTGTCCGTCTGTGTGTCTATCTTTATGTTTGTTAAAATCTATTTTCTGAAGACTTCAAATATCTTCAGTATCCAAATCTTCAATAATACTGTCAGATATACTTTCGAGAAAATGTCATCGAAACATTAGAATTTTTGTGCATTCTTTGACAAAATGAGAAAACAGCAACATCATATAATTTCATACCGAGCAAAAATCTATAGGAAGGCATGTAGCGCCCGATGTAAATGAAAACCAAAAATGGAGGACTTTTTGGTACTTCTTCGTTCTTTAACTGGTACTTTCTGAATTTTTGGATTTTCTTTAATATTGAAGTTAGAAACATAGAATTAAGCCTGAAGAGCCCGCAGTAAATAAGAACCTATAAAAGCGAACTTTTTTGTACTTTTTCTTAGAATCATTTTTTTAAGTCGATTTAGCTATTTTGTCACCTTTACTCTGAGTTATCACGATTAATAGCCTCCTAAGGACCCTAACCGAGAAAGGACATAGACCTGTCTGCTATGCAGACGATGTCGTAATACTTTTAAAGGGAAAGGATCCAAATTACTTGTGTAGAAGAGCTGAGGAGGCTGCAATGTTGAGCGAGGATAGGATCAACAAGGCACATCGGTGCTGGGCGATATGTAGGAGAACTATAGGCAGAAATGGGGTCTTAGTCCTACTATGACAAATTGGCTTATAAAAGTGGAATTTTACCTATGCTTCAATAATCTGGTGGACTTATGCTTCAATAATCTGGTGGACTTAGGCTTCAATAATCTGATGGACTGGCCAAAAGCGGTTATAGGACATGTCATCAATGTACACTGGACACATTAAGAGGTTATACACAATCATCGGACGTGCCTGATCGCATACCAGACACAGAATATGTCGGAAACTTTGAAACGCTGATTCCAGATAGAATGTCTTGGCCAAGCGGAACATTAGAGCAAATACCAGTAGGAATCCGTTGTTACAAGGATGGCTCTAAATTGAGGGACAAAGTGGGGCTGGAGTTCTATATTGAAGACCCAGAAACAGAAATATACCACCGTTTACCAAATCATAACACAAACTTCCAGGCAGAAGTCCGTGCAATAACGGAATGCGTAAATTGGATTAGAATAAATATGGCGCCCACAGCGCTTAATATATTTACCGACAGCCAGACCGTATTGGATTGTAAGAAAGCTTTTATTGAATACTCTCGCAGAGGTAAGGTTTACATCATATGGGTACCAGTCCACTCGGGTGTAGTCGGCAACGAAATGTAATAGCTTTAAAGGGAAGGGAGCTCAAGGCAGTTAACCTGACAAACGCAAAACCATTCGACGCAACAAAAGCTGAACTAAAAATATGGGTGAGAGAATCCCATAAGGCCTCTTGGAATAATGAAACGGTGGGTAGAACCATAAAGATCCTATGGGGTGATCCTGATGAGAGCAAGACGAGAAATCTCCTCAAAAGTTAGTATGATGGTACATATTCTGAGTGGACACACAGGATTACGAGCACATCTATGCAAAATTGGACGTGTGGATTCAGACGAATGTAGAGCGTGTGGAAAGGACAGTGAAACTCTCTAGCAATTTCTTTGCCACTGTCAGGCATTCGTCGAAATTAGATCCAAGTATCTTGGCAGTGATGTTATTCCGGAAATAACATTCCTGACTAACACTGATTGCCAGATTTTAAGGAATTACGTCTGAATTACTGAGTTTCTGAACACTGAAAAATAATTCATTCAGTGAAAATTTTTTGTTTGTTTTTTTTCATGAAAAAGAGCGCACAACAGACCCACTAGTGGCCTAGGTGTATTTTTTCGGATTTGATGTAGTATACATCCTCTCATCATCCTAACATAGCTATTTCCGTCCGTCTGAGCGCCCGTCCATGTAAACATTGTAATCAATTTAATTTTGAAGATAAGCTAATGAAATTTGGCACATGATCTTCTATTGGACCAGAGACTAAGCCTATTGAAATGGTCATCAGTCCATTATTTCAGCTAGCCCCTATTCAACTGAACCCCCCGTATCTCGTTTCTCGACAAAAAGCTGCAAGTTCTATACTAGCCTTGATGATTCTGATGAATTTTATAATGATAGGACCTCATTGGACCCTAGCCCCTATACAAAGCCCTCTTCAAAATGTGACTTAAATGTCCACAATTTTATTTATACCTGAGGCAAGCTACAATTCCACTTAAATGCTTTATTATGAAAACTAAATGACATTTTATTTTTATAACTGGTGTAGGGTATTATATGGTCGACCTCATCCGACTATAAGTTATTACTTGTTTCTTTTTAAAAATTATAATAATAACAGTATTTATTTAATATTTCTATTCTAAACAATATGGTACTAAAAGTTAAGCTCTTAGAGAATTTTATCATTATTTAGTGGCAGAATATCAATTTAAATGTCTTAATAAAATTCTCAAATTTATGGCATTTTTTAAAAATAAATAATCAAAAATCTTAAAGCTCACATTTAAAAGTAATAAAATCTTTAATTATTAAACGAAATAAGCAATAATAAGTTAAAATCAGCAGAGAATTATTTAAACATTAAAAAAAAAACGAAACCCGACCAAAAGTGCTAAATACGGTGGAGCCATGACGGCGACAAAGCGTGTGTCAGTTATCAAAAAAAAATTATGAATATTTATGGCAAAAAATCTTCCCACATATATTTTGGCTTAAATGAGGTTGTTTAAGCAAATAAAAAAACACATTTTCAATTTTCTTTAAAAAATTCCAACAAAAATTTTTCCTAAAATCTAACACTTTGACTTCACAGGACACATGTCATAATACTTTGGCTGAACTTTAACTGTTAAACTATCACGTCTCAAATGCAAGTTGCCAAATCAAAAAGTGTTAGAAAGACTTTTTTATGACCAAATCATGCCATATACTGGTTACCACCACTAAAAAAGCAGAAGAGAAAACCAGTACCAAACTTCAGCAAAAAAAAGTTACACTTGACATTTGTTAATACAGCAAACAAGCAACAACCCACAACTTACAAAATCACTTAAGTATCGAAAACACCAAAAGTAGTCATAGCAGTATGTTGCATACTGGCTTAATTTGTGGCAAGAGGCAACTTAAAATGCGTTTATTATTGCAGCTGACAGACAGACAGGCAGACAGACGTACTTAACTATCTTGTTGAGTTTTTTTCTTTTTCTCCTCCAAAATACATGTTGCTGTTTGCAAACTGTCATTAATTTAATGAAATTGTCTATTACGGCAAATTGTTAAAAATGTATTTGCAACAATTCATCACCATTGATATCGCGTTGTGACTTGTGCTTGCCAGTGATGCATCATTTTATGGCCATTATCAGCACCGGCTGTAGCCTTAAATGATTTTTCATAATTTTTTGGTATTTATTTAGTTTAAAGATTTATCTACTGGTTTGTTTGAGTGTGAGTGCAAAAATGATCAAGGCGGTAGTTTTAGCACTACTAAAAATAAATTAGCATAAATTTACACAATCGATATTAAATTGTTTGCCATTTACGGGGAGGTGGGACTAGGTGTAACATCTATGTACATTTGGCAATGTATTAATGGATTTTGAAAGAGTTTTGTGTTTAGTTTAAATACTATAATTGAAGCGGTTGCATATAAGCCGGTCTATGCTGGAAATATTCTGTGCTGATGGTCGGAAATAAAGTAAAACTATGGTCTTGCTTATAGGAATACAGTCTAGTCTATAGTATGCACAATAGTCTATATATCTGAACTACACTTTTGTTTATAGTAGCAGCTATAGTTTAGTCTATAGTCTGGCCTATAGTCTAAACTATTTTCTAGCCTAATTTCCGAAAATCGTCCATAGTCTAGTCTATATTCTAGTTTATTCTAGTCTATAGTCTAGTTTATAGTCTAGTCTATAGTCTAGTCTACAGTCTAGTTTATAGTCTAGTCTATAGTCTAGTCTACAGTCTAGTCTATAGTCTAGTCTACAGTCTAGTCTATAGTCTAGTCTATAGTCTAATCTATAGTCTAGTCTATAGTCTAGTCTATAATCTAGTCTATAGCCTAGTCTATGGTCTAGTCTATAGTCTAGTCTAGTCTATAGTCTAGTCTATAGTTTAGTCTATAGTTTAATCTGTAGTCTAGTCTATAGTCTAGTCTATAGTCTAGCCTATAGTCTAGTCTATAGTCTAATCTATATTCTAGTCTATAGTCTAGTCTATAGTATAGTTTATAGTTTTGTATATATTCTAGTCTGTAGTATAGTTTATAGTTTTGTATATATTCTAGTCTATAGTATAGTTTATAGTTTTGTATATATTCTAGTCTATAGTTTAGTCTATAGTCTAGTCTATATTCTAGTCTATAGTCTAGTCTATATTCTAGTCTATAGTCTAGTCTATAGTCTAGTCTATAGTCTAGTCTATAGTCTAGTCTATAGTCTAGTCTATAGTCTAGTCTATAGTCTAGTCTATAATCTAGTCTATAGTCTAGTCTATAGTCTAGTCTATAGTCTAGTCTATAGTCTAGTCTATAGTCTAGTCTATAGTCTAGTCTATAATCTAGTCTATAGTCTAGTCTATAGTCTAGTCTATAGTCTAGTCTATAGTCTAGTCTATATTAGTCTATAGTCTAGTCTATAGTCTAGTCTATAGTCTAGTCTATAGTCTAGTCTATAGTCTAGTCTATAGTCTAGTCTATAGTCTAGTCTATAGTCTAGTCTATAGTCTAGTCTATAGTCTAGTCTATAGTCTAGTCTATAGTCTAGTCTATAGTCTAGTCTATAGTCTAGTCTATAGTCTAGTCTATAGTCTAGTCTATAGTCTAGTCTATAGTCTAGTCTATAGTCTAGTCTATAGTCTAGTCTATAGTCTAGTCTATAGTCTAGTCTATAGTCTAGTCTATAGTCTAGTCTATAGTCTAGTCTATAGTCTAGTCTATAGTCTAGTCTATAGTCTAGTCTATAGTCTAGTCTATAGTCTAGTCTATAGTCTAGTCTATAGTCTAGTCTATAGTCTAGTCTATAGTCTAGTCTATAGTCTAGTCTATAGTCTAGTCTATAGTCTAGTCTATAGTCTAGTCTATAGTCTAGTCTATAGTCTAGTCTATAGTCTAGTCTATCTAGTCTATAGTCTAGTCTTAGTCTATAGTCTAGTCTATAGTCTAGTCTATAGTCTAGTCTATAGTCTAGTCTATAGTCTAGTCTATAGTCTAGTCTATAGTCTAGTCTATAGTCTAGTCTATAGTCTAGTCTATAGTCTAGTCTATAGTCTAGTCTATAGTCTAGTCTATAGTCTAGTCTATAGTCTAGTCTATAGTCTAGTCTATAGTCTAGTCTATAGTCTAGTCTATAGTCTAGTCTATAGTCCTAGTCTATAGTCTAGTCTATAGTCTAGTCTAGTCTAGTCTATAGTCTAGTCTATAGTCTAGTCTATAGTCTAGTCTATAGTCTAGTCTATAGTCTAGTCTATAGTCTAGTCTATAGTCTAGTCTATTATCTAGTCTATAGCCTAGTCTATAGTCTAGTCTATTATCTAGTCTATAACCTAGTCTAGTCTATATTTTAGTCTATAGTCTTGTCTATATTCTGGACATAATCTAGTCTTTATTTTGGACTATGATCAAGACTGTAGTCCAGTCTGCACTATAACCTAGTTTATAGTCTGTACTAAAAACTATAGTCTAGTTTGTAGTCAAATCTATAATCATGTCTTAATTGCAGTCTAAAATATGGTCTTTATTATGGTCTAGTCTATAGTCTTAAGTAAATAAATGGAGGTCTCGACTATAGTCTAAACTAATGTGTGTCTCTCTGTTTACTACATACAAACGATTTTCTTTTGAAATAACTAAAGTTTGTTTGGAATTTACATAAATTATAATTAGGACAGCACTTTTGTAATAAAGATGCATTTTGTTTGCCATGTAAAGTATTAAATCACTGGCACGTGGTTATTTCCTAAACGTATTATAATATTTTGATTTATTTTGTTTTTAATTTTTGTAAATATGAAGTTAAAAATAATACATACCAGTTTTTTTTCTTCTCATTTTTAGATCTGAGATTTTAATGCTTGCCTCCATCCACACATGAAATGAATTAAAAAAGAAGATCATTTTGATTTTAGGCAGTTTGTGGGATTTTATGCTGGATGAGCACACGGTCAACTGTCAACGAAATATATACAACTTGATTTCTGGTTAAAAAAAACAAGTGAGTACTGGTAGTAGTATCATTTTCATTATGTTTTTGTTTTTCTTATTTTGTGATTTTTGGTTTTTCTTAATTTATTATTTTGAAAGATTAATTTGTTGTATTGATCTGTGCCTCATTCCAATTATTGTGGCAATTGATTACAAAAGCAAATTGAGTGCTAAAAAGATACAAAACAGCAGAAGACAATCATTAATATGCCAACTAAATTTGATTATTGTGTCTTTAATTGCAAATGATTGTTGAAATTGTTGAAATCAACACAGCATATTTTATTCAGGGTTAAATTAACAATAAGTAAATAGTTTCTTATATTTTGCAGAGGTTTTCTTTTTCGAAATATTTAAAAGTTACAATAAATATTAAGCAAGTACTTAGTTGTACCTGAATAAACTAAATAAAATTCTCCATAAATTATTAACAAAAATAAAACTATATTAAGTAAAGCATATTAAGTTTTTTTTCACAAAAGAAACCACCACATCCTTGACTAGGCATTAAATTTATTTTGTTTATTTACAATTTATTAAATGATATTTTCTTTTCAATATTGATTGACCCAAAACTGGGTTGTGATAAGGAGGTTTCTATGTAAATTTCATTACTTAATACCAATATCGCCATCACTATTTTATGTTTATGGAATTATTTTTCGGTAACTGTGACTTTTTGTATGACTGCCTGTCAGCTTTGTCTTTTTATTTATGTAAATCATTAATTAATTATAGGAAATTTCCCACCAGAAATACCTGTAACCAGTAATTGCCCAATTCATTTATCCCCCTTTAACTACATACGATTTGAATCTGTTTCAACTTTTTACATTTTAAGAGTTATACAAATTTGTTAATTTTAATGCCATTTTTATTAAATATTTAAACTATTTTAAACAAATCTTTCTTTAAAAAAAACGTAAATCAATGCATAACACTGCCGTCCATGGAACTAGTTATATACATATTTACGAATCTGTTAGTTTTAAAAACCTCAGAATACACCTATAGACAACAGACTACACTATAAACTAGACTAAGGACTAGACAATAGACTAGAATAGATATTAGACTACAGACTAGACTATAGACTAGACTATAGACTAGACTATAGACTAGACTATAGACTAGACTATAGACTAGACTATAGACTAGACTATAGACTAGACTATAGACTAGACTATAGACTAGACTATAGACTAGACTGTAGACTAGACTATAGACTAGACTATAGACTAGACTATAGACTAGACTGTAGACTAGACTATAGACTAGACTATAGACTAGACTACAGACTAGACTATAGACTAGACTATAGACTAGACTATAGACTAGACTATAGACTAGACTATATACTAGACTATAGACTAGACTATAGACTAGACTATAGACTAGACTATAGACTAGACTATAGACTAGACTATAGACTAGACTATAGACTAGACTATAGACTAGACTATAGACTAGACTATAGACTAGACTAGACTAGACTAGACTAGACTAGACTATAGACTAGACTATAGACTAGACTATAGACTAGACTATAGACTAGACTATAGACTAGACTATAGATTAGACTATAGACTAGACTATAGACTAGACTATAGACTAGACTGTAGACTAGACTGTAGACTAGACTGTAGACTAGACTATAGACTAGACTATAGACTAGACTATAGACTAGACTATAGACTAACTTTAGACTAGACTATAGACTAGACTCTAGACTAGACTATAGACTAGACTATAGACTAGACTATAGACTAGACTATAGACTAGATTACAGACTAGACTATAGACTAGACTATAGACTAGACTATAGACTAGACTATAGACTAGACTATAGACTAGACTATAGACTAGACTATAGACTAGACTATAGACTAGACTATAGACTAGACTATAGACTAGACTATAGACTAGACTATAGACTAGACTATAGATTAGACTATAGACTAGACTATAGACTAAACTATAGACTAGACTATAGACTAGACTATAGACTAGACTATAGACTAGACTATAGACTAGATTATAGACTAGACTATAGACTAGATTATAGACTGGACTATAGACTAGACTAGACTAGACTAGACTAGACTAGACTAGACTATAGACTAGACTATAGACTAGACTATAGACTAGACTATAGACTAGACTATAGACTAGAATATAGACTAGACTATAGACTAGAATATAGACTAGACTATTTAGACTAGACTATAGACTAGACTATAGACTAGACTATAGACTAGACTATAGACTAGACTATAGACTAGACTATAGACTAGACTATAGACTAGACTATAGACTAGACTATAGACTAGACTATAGACTAGACTATAGACTAGACTATAGACTAGACTATAGACTAGACTATAGACTAGACTATAGACTAGACTATAGACTAGATTATAGACTAGACTATAGACTAGATTATAGACTGGACTATAGACTAGACTAGACTATAGACTAGACTATAGACTAGACTATAGACTAGACTATAGACTAGACTATAGACTAGACTATAGACTAGACTATAGACTAGACTATAGACTAGACTATAGACTAGAATATAGACTAGACTATAGACTAGAATATAGACTAGACTATTTAGACTAGACTATAGACTAGACTCTAGACTAGACTATAGACTAGACTATAGACTAGACTATAGACTAGACTATAGACTAGACCATAGACTAGACTATAGACTAGACTATAGACTAGACTAGACTAGACTATAGACTAGACTATAGACTAGACTATAGACTAGACTATAGACTAGACTATACTAGACTATAGACTAGACTATAGACTAGACTATAGACTAGACTATACACTAGACTATAGACTAGACTATAGACTAGACTATAGACTAGACTATAGACTAGACTATAGACTAGACTATAGACTAGACTATAGACTAGACTATAGACTAGACTATAGACTAGACTATAGACTAGACTATAGACTAGACTATAGACTAGACTATAGACTAGACTAGACTAGACTATAGACTAGACTATAGACTAGACTATAGACTAGACTATAGACTAGACTATAGACTAGACTATAGACTAGACTATAGACTAGACTATAGACTAGACTATAGACTAGACTATAGACTAGACTATAGACTAGACTATAGACTAGACTATAGACTAGACTATAGACTAGACTATAGACTAGACTATAGACTAGACATAGACTAGACTATAGACTAGACTTATAGACTAGACTATAGACTAGACTATAGGACTAGACCATAGACTAGACCATAGACTAGACCATAGACTAGACGATAGACAGACTATAGACTAGACTATAGACTAGACTATAGACTAGACTATAGACTAGACTATAGACTAGACTATAGACTAGACTATAGACTAGACTATAGACTAGACTATATACTAGACTATAGACTATAGACTAGACTATAGACTAGACTATAGACTAGGACTATAGACTAGACTATAGACTAGACTATAGACAGACTATAGACTAGACTATAGACTAGACTACTAGACATAGACTAGACTATAGACTAGACTATAGACTAGACTATAGACTAGACTATAGACTAGACTATAGACTAGACTATAGACTAGACTATAGACTAGACTATAGACTAGACTATAGACTAGACTATAGACTAGACTATAGACTAGACAATATACTAGACTATTGACTAGACTATAGACTAGACTATAGACTAGACTATAGACTAGACTATAGACTAGACTATAGACTAGACTATAGACTAGACTATAGACTAGACTATAGACTAGACTATAGACTAGACTATAGACTAGACTATAGACTAGACTATAGACTAGACCATAGACTAGACCATAGACTAGACCATAGACTAGACTATAGACTAGACTAGACTATAGACTAGACTATAGACTAGACTATAGACTAGACTATAGACTAGACTATAGACTAGACTATAGACTAGACTATAGACTAGACTATAGACTAGACTAGACTATAGACTAGACTATAGACTAGACTATAGACTAGACTATAGACTAGACTATAGACTAGACTATAGACTAGACTATAGACTAGACTATAGACTAGACTATAGACTAGACTATAGACTAGACTATAGACTAGACTATAGACTAGACTATAGACTAGACTATAGACTAGACTATAGACTAGACTATAGACTAGACTATAGACTAGACTATAGACTAGACTATAGACTAGACTATAGACTAGACTATAGACTAGACTATAGACTAGACTATAGACTAGACTATAGACTAGACTATAGACTAGACTATAGACTAGACTATAGACTAGACTATAGACTAGACTATAGACTAGACTATAGACTAGACTATAGACTAGACTATAGACTAGACTATAGACTATACTATAGACTAGACTATAGACTAGACTATAGACCTAGACTATAGACTAGACTATAGACTAGACTATATACTAGAATAAGACTAGACTATAGACTAGACTATAGACTAGACTATAGACTAGACTATAGACTAGACTATAGACTAGACTATAGACTAGACTATAGACTAGACTATAGACTAGACTATAGACTATAGACTAGACTATAAGACTAGGACTATTAAGGACTAAGACTATAGACTAGAACTAATAGACTAGACTATAGACTAGACTATAGGACTAGACGTATAGACTAGACTATAGACGAGACTATGACAGACTAGACTATAGACTAGACTAATAGACTAGACTATTGAACTAGAACTATAGACTAGACGATAGACTAGACTATAACTAGACTAGACTATAGAACTAGACTATAGACTAGACTAAGAACTATGACTAGACTAGACTTAAGCTAAGACCTCTAGACTAGACTAGAACTAGACTATAGACTAGACTAGAGACTAGACTATAGACTAGACTATCGACTAGACTATAGACTAAGACTATAGACTAGAACTATAGACTAGACTATAGAACTAGACTATAGACTAGACTACTAGACTATAACTAGACATTAGAATAGACTATAGACCAGAACTATAGGACTAGACTATAGACTAGACTATAGACTAGACTATAGACTAGACTATAGACTAGACTATAGACTAGACTATAGACTAGACTATAGACTAGACTATAGACTAGACTATAGACTAGACTATAGACTAGACTA